AGTAGTAGCAGGCGTAGTAGCAGGAGCAGGTGGTGGTGGCAGCAGTAGTAGCAGTGATCGATACACACGAAAAACTGAAGCCTGAACTGCGGAACCCCCAACAGTAATCAACAATCCTCAGAATCCCAACATTTGAGCAACTTTGGCCGTTGATGCTCGGATTTGTAGAGAAATCTTGAAGATGTTTGATCACTGCCGAGGTCCGAGCCTGGCTGGGTTTTGGCCCTCTTTGGATGCGAATTGCCAAAGTGCCGCCAGGCTCAAATGTTTGAAGTGCCCACAACTCCCGGGCTCCATGCATGTCGGCCGTTTGAACCAGTTCGCGTGGTTTTTGAGCCCTGTTTTCGCACTTCAAGATTGGACGTTCCAGCATTTTTGAGCAGAATCTTCGCTAACAAGATCATGAACAACATAACATGGTTTCCCTGTGCCGAGTACTATCGAAACGCGTCTGCGTACGTGGCTGCTCGCAAGAGCTTCATTGTAGACACAAGCCATTTGTTTAGTCCTAGTTCATGCTTGAGGCTGTCGCATTCGCCAATCTCTATTCAAAAAACTCTTGCTGGAAGTATGAAACCCTGCTCATTGCTTGAACAGGGATAACGGAGGTGTCGCCTCCTTCACGAACAGCAGCTATCGTGTTGTTCAACAGAACTTACTTCTTCTCATGGCTGGAAAAGGCCTTCTTGCTGTTTGCCTAATTACACAGGAGCGACTTTTTATTTTTAGATAGATCAGCTTCAGGATACAAAGCTGTGCTGGCAGGATATGTACTGCACAAATGGGAATTCAAGTCATTCAACTGCTTTTGTTCCCGCATCGCACAAAACAGTAAAGATGTTAGCTTGCAGTGTCATTGTTTTCCCACGCATCAGGAGATGTTGAGGCTAAAAAAAGAAATGGATGCTTCATGCTGTCTTAACGGATGGTAGGAGCTCGGCTATTTGTGGCTAGTAGTGGCTAGTAGTATAGGGCAAAGTGGCCCGCTCAAGTTGTTGCAATGAACGGGAAGCTCTGTTGCTTCTCGAATAGCTAGAGCTGCTGCCATGTTTCTTGTCAGAAGACCAATGTCAGCTGTAATTGCTTCTGATTGGAAGATAGCAGCACCATGTTGTGCTTCATGATATGAAGAGAAGGGCAGCGGTTCTATTCGTGATGTGGGACGAGAGAAGGTCGACATGCAACGTTCTACTCATGACCGGATGCAGTTAAGATATAGCCAGCGCGCTCGTGTTCTACCGTGATAGAAAGATAGAAAACTCGTGCTGCATTCGTTTCTGAAAGGTTGTAGAAGCTTTCGTAGTGCTGGCTACTGAAAGAGCCTTCTTCTGCTTCTCTCCGTGAAAGAGGATTTCTCAATGAGCGGGAACGCGTGTTCCGTGTTGCTAAGAGAAGAACACAAATCAGCTTTCCGGCGTCTTGCTTCGTTGAGATGGGACTTGTTGTTTGGCTGCAGTATCGAGAAGTCATCCGTAGAATCGCAACGAAGAATTGAGAGCAGAATCCCTTCTGCTTTCGGTTGGCTCTCAAATGTCACAGACAAAATAGGTAAAGAAGTGGAGGAAGGTACGGGCGAATTGTAAAACATCCCGTAAATGCCGATGTTTGCTATACGTAGGAGTGAACAGACAGAGACGGAAGACTGTGCCGAAGCAGTCGGCAAGCCTGGGGCGGAGTATCCACGACCAATACTGATGCTGCTGGTATTAGGCTACCGTGCAGTACTGCAGCAGCCGTGCAAGTTTAAAGCAACTTGGCCCGGTTCAGAACCTGCTCCAACTCGCCAAGATGCAGCGCAAAGTCTTTTCCGGCATCGAGATCACCTTGGTTCATTTCGATGCTGCAGGGTAGAGAAGAGGGTCACCTTATCCTTCCAACCTCCGCATGCCTCTAGACTCGAGCCTCCGGCTAAAACTTCAAAACCTTGTCATGCCTAGGCGCCATGCGCATCCAAAGCCCAGCGCTCGACTGGCCCACCACCCTCCCAGCTGCAGACTGTAAAGCTAATGCGCGAGACACTGGGGTTATTCGAGTGGAAGGTGACTCCTTGTCTGTGGCGCATCATGGTGTCATGGCATGTCATGGCGGCACCATACAGGCAGGACATGGCTGCGAGGCCACGGACAGAGTGACAGACCTGTCCAGTTTGCCAAGCCTCCTTGTAGAGCAGGATCTCGCGTTCTGTGGCTGAGACCTGCAACTGCCGAATGGTGCGAGCATTTGTCCGTCTGAGTGCCGTCCGGTGGTGCATCTCAGCAGAGCTGAACAAACTAGTACTGCACGTGCACGTTTACACGCCCGACAGACTAAAGCTTCGAATCCTCGATTTGGGTGCTTGTGCTCAAGGTGAGACTGAAAGCTTAATGCAGCTGATTCAGATACAGCTGATGTCATTCCAAGGTGCTTCCCAAGCACCACTGTGATTCTCCTTGTCTGTCATTCCCGCGCCGAGCTGCGAGAAGTACAGGCCTTGTTGGGTTGAACGCACAAGCGAGCAGCTACAGCTACAGTTGCCGAAACTGCCTGCACGAACGAACGTTGCGACATGTGGCGACACGATGCTCCAAGCACCTTGGGCTTTGCAACTCCTGAAGCTCGGCGAGACGGAGGCGAGCAAGTGCCACCGGATGCGAATCCTGCCCTGGTGTCCGAGTGTACCGAGTGGCGGCTGCACCGAAAACCGAGCCAAAAGCGGCTGCAGGTCCAAGACTTATTCGAGCCCGAGATGCTTTCAAACTTTCCGGACTCACGGAGGATCAGCTCGAAGGACTCTGCCTTCCAACGCATCTCTAACAGCCCTATGGAACCTGCTTGGCCCTCGAGCTTCTTGCGTAGTGATTGGAGTACAGGACCGCGAGCTCTGTCTACGTTCGAGATTTGCAGCAGGTCAGTTCGGCAAAATTGAGTGCGCCTCATCCGCGTCCCCCTGCCAACCTTAGGCTTTGTGGTCGCATCTGGTCGTTCGACCCCGTCAGGCGGCTGGCAGGCGTAACACGGGTAACCAATCACTGAGAAGCTTCTGGAAAGGGTTGTGCAAGGTTGTGCACACAGCAGAAACCTTGCGGATTGCTCTATTGACTACTTAGACTGGTGGTCCTGTCAGTAGTGGAGGCTACAATAGCCTTGATGCGGCACCTCTGCTTGCTGCTGCAGCGGCGGAAGGCATAGCGCCCTTCCAGACGCCCAAGACGATCACGACCTGCCTTTTCCGCATGTAGGCGCTCCTCCAAATCGCCCGGAGCAAAAACACTACAAGCAAGCGCAGGGCTTCAGGTCTAAGGCTGGACACTGCAAGGCTGCAGCTGAGGTTGCCACAGATCTCTCGCGGGCTGCCTTCTGCGATCAAAGATGCTGCTGGCAGTTCAATGCGTCTGCACCAGCACATCTAGAGGAGGCCTGCATCACCCTGTGCGGTAACACAGAAAACTCGACTACTCCGATCTTCCCAAAACGATCCAGCGCAGTCGAGTTGCAGCCGACTCCACGCGTGCCACATTGTTTGTGCTGCGCTTCGCGGCTGCCTACCAACGATGACGATGGGTTTAGGCGCCAGGT